ACTATTACAAAGCTATAGTGATTGGGGTGGGTATTTGGTGTGGTGGTTAGGAAGCCACTTGGGGTGCTTGCATGCCACATCAGAGTGCCTGGTTGGAGTTCTGGCTCCTCTGCATCCGACCCAGCTTCCTGCTGTTCTGCATCCTGGGAGGCAGCAGATAATGACTCAAGTTCTTGGGACCCTGCCACCCATGTGAGAGACCTGGCTGGAGTTCCTGGCTCCTGGCTTTGGCCTGGACTAGCCCCAGGGTCACAGTCATTTGGGGAGTGAACCAGTGGATAGAAGATTTGTATCTCTCTCTCTCCCTCTCTGTGTCACTCTGCCTTTCAAATAAATAAATAAATCTTTAAAATAAGACTTAAATAGAAAACATAAAACTGTAAAAATCCCAAAAAGAAAACTAAGGACAACTCCTCGACATTATCTTGGCAATGTTTTTTGGGTATGAGGCCAAATGCACAGATTAAAAAAAGCAAAAATAAGCAAATGGGACTATATCAAAATGAAAAGCTTCTGTACAGCAAAGGAAGTGATCAACAAAATGAAAAGCCAACCTTCAGAATGGGAGACAATGCTTGCAAATAATATATAAGATAAATTATTAATAGCTGAATTGTATGAGGAATTCATACAACTCAATAGCAAACAACAACAATAAAAACAAATCTGATATAAAAATGTACAAGAGACCTGAACATATATTTTTCCAGAGAAGACACATAAACGACTAACAGGTATGTGAAAAGTGCTCAATATCACTAATCAAACCATAATGAGACATTGCCTTATACCTGTTAGGATGGCTAGTCTCAAAAACACAAGAGGTGGGGTCAGTGCTGTGTTGTGGAAGGTTAAGCCTCTGCCTACAGTGTTGGCATCCCATATGGGCTCCCATTCCAGTCCCAGCTACTCCATTTTCAATCCAGCTCCCTGCTAATGCACTTGGGAAAGCAGAGGAAGATGGCCCACATGCTTGGACTCCTGCACCCATGTGGGAGACCTGGAAGAAGCTCTGGCTTCTGGCTTCAGCCTGTACCAGCACTGGCCATTGCAGCCATTTGGGGAGTGAACCAGTGGGTGAAGGATGTCTCTCTTTCTCGCTCTCTCTGTATATCTACCTTTCAAATAAATAAATAAATAATCTCTTAAAAAACACACAAGGTAACAAGTGTTGGTGAGGAGAAAAGGGAATCCGTTTGTACTGCTGGGAAGAATGAAAATTGGAAAACAGAAAGAAGAATCCTCAAAAAATTAAAAACAAAAACTGCCATATGATCCAAAAATCCCATGTCTGGGTATATATCCACAAAAATTGAAATCAGTGTGTCAAAGAGATAGCTGTCTGGTTTACCAGATGAACTGTCTCAGAATCATAGTGTTTGTGTTCAAGCAACTCCTGAACAATACCTGTATCGTTCACCTTACTCCCATTGATTACCTGAACACCATATCATATCACATTATGGCAAGAAGAGTGAGGAAGATACCATGAGAGATTGTGAGAGAGATCACACACACGTGAGTTTTATATCAGTATGTTGTTATAATTTTTCTGTTTCATTATTAGTTATTGCTAATCTCTTACCATGCCTAATTTATAAATTAAACCTTATCATAGGTATGAATGACAGGAAAAACACAGTATAGATAAGGTTATGTGCTCTCTGTGGTTTTAGGTGTCCACTGGGGATCTTGGGATTTATCCTTCACAAGTAAGGAGGAATACTATATAATTTTTTTATCAATTATATTTCAATAAAGCTAGAAAAAAAAGAAAGGTACATTTTCTTTATTTAATTCTCTCAGTTGTCTTCTCTAGATAATTTTTAGTTAAGACTTCACCCAGGTGTTACCTGCTCCAGGAAACCTGTGTTGCCTCCACCCAACACCACTTACTACCTTGGCCTACATGCACATCCTTTTGTTCCTCTCATTGTTCCCTGTGAGCCCACCGTGCTTGCACCTCACGCCTATGTGGGCCTATCTTCCCAGGTATGAGAGGTTTTCTCCAAGGGGTTCTGAGATGACCCAGAGGGCGACTCTGAAACAGGGCTCCATGTGCACATCATGGAGGCAGGAGAAGGACCAGGAGGCCTGGGCTGGCCTCCTTCCTGCCCCTGACCTGTTGAGGCATTGACAGGCACCCTAGAGTGTGTATTAAAGGTACCCTCACAGATCTCTCTAAAAGGAATCAAAGTTACCTGGTATTTGCTTCAACTTCCTAGTTATGAGTATTAATAGCATACATTTCCTTAACCATAATAGACAATCATTGGCAGAGTGCTTTCACAGCTGCAAAGCCCTTCACTCGCGCATAGTCTTGGTGGTTTTGTGAGACAGGACCTTAAAGCATCTCCTCTCAATCCTTCATCTGCACAGCCCATCTGATGCTCAGGTCCAGCCACATCTAGCCACCCCACCCCACCCCAGTCAGACCCTACATCCCGTGGGATGCCCCTCTCCTCTGAAGTCAGAGCTTCCACTTGGGTTATGTGGCCAGGCCAGCTAGGACTCCTGCCTAGTCCATTCAGATGGATTAACAGAACAGAGAAGACACATGAGAGGAAAAACACATGTGGCCTGGTGCCCCACAGCAAAGGAAAGTGGGAGATGCAGGAAGTTATCCAGATGCTACGAGTGACTCCAGCACGGTCTTATTCTCCCTTCCACGGGACATTGGCACTGATCCTCTGATGTGGCAGGAACAGGGCTTATATCTGCATCACACATATGACACCTGTTCTGCTTCGAAGAAGTGAATGAGGGTTGAGCCTTCGATGACCCCATGGAGCCTGGCAGAAGCCAAGCCAGCCCCCACAGGCTACAGAAAGTTCTCTGCAGCTGTTGACTGCAGCAGCAGGCTCTGTAGGGTCAAGGAACCAGGGTCTGGAATGTATTCTTGGGGGAAAGTGAGTTCTATTTAAGCTTTTAAATGCTGTATTTCCATTTTGATAATCACACTGTAAAGACTCAGATATAAGGGAAAATTTTTCTTTGTTGCAAATCACAACTAGAGTACATTTTCATGGAATAAAACACTAGTTATTTAAGATATTGTTTCTCAACCTGGGATATGCGGCTCCTTGGAGCTGCACAAATATAAACTATGTTATCATGGGTCCGTAAGAATTAACTTTCCCTTTAAAAGGCCCAGACCGGGGCCGGCATTGTGGCAGAGCAGGTTAGGTCATCACCCGAGATGCCAGCATCTCATATGAGCAGAGTTCAAGTCCTGCCGCTCCTGGCTTTGGCCAGGCCCAGCCCCGCCATTGTGGCCATCTGAGGAGCGAACCAGCAGAAGGGAAATCTCTCTCTCTCTCTCTGTCTCTCCTTCTCTCTGTAACCCTGCCTTTCAAATAAAATAAATGAATCTTTAACAGTAATAAAAAAGGCTCTGACTTTATGAGACATAGCTTGATGTTCTGTGGCTCCCAGGCTCTTGCATTCCTCTCTCCCCTGTTCCACAGCCATGCCAGGCACAAGCCATTAATGCACATGGTATGGGAAGAGTAGGCAATGAAAGAAATGTACCAAATGTACATCTATGCCAAAGAACTCAACACTCTCCTTGGGTTACCAGTTAAAAAGCTGTCTCCTCAAATGCACCAGATATCACCAAAGCAATGTCAAGTCCACCATACATAGCCAGTCCTGTGACATGTGCTGTCAGCTCCTCCTGACCCTTCTAGCAGAGAACAGCTACTCTAAACTGATTCTTCTCCTCCAGCTCGGCAGGGACTCAGCTTTTAAAGGACAACCTCAGCCCTGCCTGTGGGAGAGGCAGTGGGGTGAAGGGAATACCCAGCGACCATGTGTGAGGCACCCAGAACCCACATGGGGAGCAAGTCTTCCAATCAGACCTCTCTTCCTGGTCTCTGATGTTCCTGGCACTGAGCATATGTGTGCTCATGTGCACATGCATGTGTGCATCCATGTTGTATTTTATTTGGAGCCCTTTCTTACACTGGACTCCTCCAAAGGACCCCCACCCCCACCCCTCAGTGCCCCAGTCCCACAGGACTTCATAGACTTGGTGCTAATACAGGGATACAGGGTTGGGGTGGCTCCAGTGGCCTTGGGAGGAGGTGCATCAGGGCTCCTGCTGGGACATTAAGACATAGTCACTGCCTCTGACCCTCCTTTGAAGGTGCAAAATGGTAGAATAAACTAATTTTGCCAGGCTCAAGGCAGCGAAAACATGACAGGTCTTCAAAAAGTTCTTGAAAAATACATACTATGAAAAAACTATGCATGGATTTTAAAGAATTTTTGTGCAAAATAAACTTAATCTTCTGATTTCCATGCATATTGTGAAGTCCCCTTGTGTATAGTAGAAACTGATTAAATATCATTTATTAGGGAGGCTTTGGATATGCTGGGAGTGAAATCATGTCCTCAGAGACATCAGTAAAGTCTAGGAAGAGTAAAATGTCACAGCTCTGCTCTGGGGATCCCAGTCTTCTTTACTCCTCATGACTGATAATTTTCTTTCCACAGGAAAGAGCAAAAGGCTGACTCTTAGTTAGCCCAGAACTGATTTCTACAGGTGAAGAAGGTAGCTTAAGAGGTCTTTGTTGTCCCGGGGGAAAGCTTCCAAGGGGTCTCAACAATGTAGGATGACTGCAAAATTCTGCACCATTCCTTTAGGCTCAGGTGAGGAGAGGGTGGGAAGGTAATGAAATGAGGCATTCAGCTTACTGAGCACAGCTTGTGCTGAACAGTCACGTTAGCTGTTCTTAGGGCAATGGTCATGTGGCTCCAAGAGTTTGGAAATGAGGGAAATGATTCCAAAGATTACACCACGAAATCAACAGTCGATCTGAGAGGAGGTCTCAGTTACCGGACAGAGGGTGTCAGGCTGCCTGAGAGTGTCCACAGACAACAGGAGCACTGCACCTGCGGCCTTGCCCACATTCTCCTGAGAAGCCCCTCTGCCCTGCCAGGCTGGCAGGACCCCACCAGCTGAAGATGGCTCCCCAAAACGTGCCCGAGAAACTTACGAGTCCTGCTGATAAGATCCACGCTGCTGTCCTGCCTGCCGACCTCACTCCCGGGGCTGGTCAGCTCGTGTTGTTGCTTGTCTGGCTGCACGCTCCAGCGGACTTTTTGCAGTCCTGAAAGATGTCCCTTCTGGTCACTTTTTCTTTGAGAGTAACTAGGGACTGGAAGCCCAAGGTGGATGGAAGGGCAGCCTGTGGGCACAGCACAAAAGGGAGGGAAGGCAGAGTCACTGAGAACTGGCATTTCTCCAAAACATCCATCAGTTACAAAGACAGGAAAGACCTGGCGTGCCTGGATGGAGCCACTGCCCCAGGCTTGGGCTTGACAGAATTCCATTTCTGAACCAACTCAACAGTTGCTGGGAGGGATAGCCTTGGTGCCATGATTAGAATTCTGCTAGCATGAGCAGAACTCCTGTCTCTCCTTCTGCTTCTCCAGAGCGGTGATGACTAGATGGATATAGCTTATGACACATGGCCCAGAAGCAAGTCCCTCAGTGGAACACTTGGACACAGTCCAAAACACCAAGTCCCCTCTTTGGTTGTTATGGTAGAAATCAAATGCATTTGCACTGATTTTTTTTTTTTAGATTTATTTTATTTATTTGAAAGGCGCAGTTACAGAGAGGAAGGGTTGGGGGAGAGAGAGAGATCTTCCATCTGCTGGTTTATTCCCCAAATGGCCACAATGGTCAGGGCTGGGCCAGGCTGAAGCTAGGAGCTTTTTCCGGATCTCCTACGTGAGTGCAGGGGCCCAAGCACTTGGGTATTCTTCCACTGCTTTCACAGGCACATGAGCAGGGAGCTGTATGGAAAATGGAGCAGCCAGGACGGGAACCGGTGCTCATATGGGAGGCTGGCATTGCAGGAAGGGTCTTTTTTTTTTTTTTTTTTTTTTTTTTTTTTTTTTTTTTTTTTACAGGCAGAGTGGACAGTGAGAGAGAGAGAAAGAGAGAAAGGTCTTCCTTTGCCGTTGGTTCACCCTCCAATGGCCGCCGCGTCCAGCGCGCTGCGGCCGGCGCACCGCGCTGATCCGGTGGCAGGAGCCAGGAGCCAGGTGCTTTTCCTGGTCTCCCATGGGGTGCAGGGCCCAAGCACCTGGGCCATCCTCCACTGCACTCCCTGGCCACAGCAGAGGGCTGGCCTGGAAGAGGGGCAATCGGGACAGAATCCAGCGCCCCAACCGGGACTAGAACCCGGTGTGCCGGCGCCGCTAGGCGGAGGATTAGCCTAGTGAGCCGCGGCGCCGGCTCAGGAAGGGTCTTTACCCACTATGACACAATGCTGGTCCCCTCTGAATCTTTTTTTTTTTTTTTTTGACAGGCAGAGTGGACAGTGAGAGAGAGAGAGACAGAGAGAAAGGTCTTCCTTTTCCGTAGGTTCACCCTCCTGGTCTCCCATGCGGGTGCAGGGCCCAAGGACTTGGGCCATCCTCCACTGCACTCCTGGGCCACAGCAGAGAGCTGGACTGGAAGAGGAGCGACCGGGACAGAATCCAGCGCCCCGACCGGGACTAGAACCCGGTGTGCCAGTGCTGTAGGCAGAGGATTAGCCTATTGAACCACGGCGCCAGCCTGAATCATTTTTATAGCACTGTGTGGCTACTTAATAGAAAAGTACTTCTCAGAAAATTGAATTATTAAGAGTTTCTCAAAGCTGTACAAACTAAAATTTTCAAGAACTGGAGTTACCAATAACCCTAATTCAGATTTCTACTATGAAGCCAGATTGTAGGGCTGGTGCTCTGTCACAGCGGGTAAAGTCGCCTCCTGCAGTGCTGGCATCCCATATGGGTGCTGGTCCAAGTCCCCGCTGCTCCACTTCCAATCCAGCTCTCTGCTATGGCTTGGGAAAGAGCCAGAAGAAGCTCCTGGCTCCTAGCTTCGGATTGGCCCAGCTCTAGCCATTGTAACCATTTGGGGAGTGAGCCAGCAGATGGAAGACTTTTGTCTCTCTTTCTTCTCTGCCTCTCTGTAATTCCTTCAAAATAAATAAATAAATCTTAAAAAAAAAAAAAAAAAAAAAAAGGCAGTAGCAGCAGCAGCCAAATTGTCAGGGCAGGCATTTGGCACAGTGATTAAGAGGCCATTTGGGGGGAAGGGGGCAGCATTGTAGCACGGTGGTATAGCCAGTAAAGCAGCTGCCTGTGACCCCAGCATCCTATGTGGATGCCGGTTCAAGTCCTGGCTGCTCCACTTCCTATCCAGCAGCTCCCTGCTAATGCACATGGGAAAGCAGTAGAAGATGACCCAAGTATTTGGGCCTCTGCACCTATGTGGGAGACCCGGAAGAAGCTCCGAGCTCCTGGCTTTGGCCTAGCCCAGCTCCAGATGTTGCAGTCATTTAGGGTGTGAACCAATGGATAGAAGATTCTCTCTCTCTAACTCTACCTTTCAAAAAAAAAAAAAAAAAGAAAGAAAGAAAGAAAGAAAAGAAAGATGCCATCTGGGATGCCTATGTTAGAGTGCCTGGTTCAAGCTGTAGCTCCTCTGCTCTTGACAGAGCTTCCTGCTGATGTGCACCCTGAGAGGCAGCAAGTGATAGCTCAAGTATTTGGGTCCCTGCCACCTGTGTGGGAGAGCCAGACTGAGTCTTGAACTCCTGACTTCACCCTAGCCCTGGCCTGGTTATTGTGGGTACCTGGGGGAGTGAACCAATGGAACCAATCCTCCATCTTTGCCTTCCAAATAACATGAAAATAAATAAATATTTTTAAAAAGCCAGTTTTCTAGGTAACACTGGGTAACAGGCACACAGAGACAGCTGCAGCTCCTACGGCTCTCAGTGAGGACCTGCTGTCACCAGGCTAACATCAGTGTTGTCTTGACTCAGCCAACAATTTGTAAAATAATAGAGTATTTTTAGCACAGCTTTAGATTTACAGAATAACTGAGTAGACAGTACACAGAAATCCATGTATCTACCCTCATCTCTACCCCACCTCCACACCTGGAAAGTTTCCCCTATTATTAACATCTTGTATGGGTATGGCTTGTGTGTTACAATTAGTGACCCAATATTGACACATCATTATTAACTATAATCTACAGTTTACATTGAAGTTCACTCCTCCTGTTGTACAGAACTCCTATGGGTTTGGACAAATGCATAGTGGCATGCCTCTACCACTGCTGTGTCATACAGAAAACTTCCACTACACTAAACATCGTGTTCAACCTATTCATCCCCCCTCTCTTCACCCAAACTCCTTTTTACTATCTCTATAATTTTTCCTTTTCCAAAATATCATAAAGTTGAAATCATCCAGTGTATAGCCTTCTCACACCAGCTCTTTTAATCAGAAATATGCATTTACATTTCCTCCCTGTGTTATCAGGGCTTGATAGCTCAGATTACATTCTATGGATGGATCATAGTTTGTTTATCCACCGTCCTACTGAAGGACCTTTTGGTGGCTTCCAGTTTGGATGGTTTAAAGCAGCTATGAACACTTAATGTACAGGCTTCCACATGGAGACAAGTTTCAACTCAATTGGGTAAATATCTAGGAACATGATTCCTGGTTTTTACTAAGCTAAACATAGTTTCATAGTAAGAAACTGCCAAACTGTCTACCACAAAGCTTATATCACTTACATTCCTGCTAGCGATGGGAGAGCATTCCTATTGTTCTGAATCCTCACCACCACCTGGTATTGCCAGGTTGTTCTTTTTTTTTTATTTTAGGTATTCTAATAGGTGTATAGTGGATTTCTTTGTTGTTTAATGTATAATTCTCTGATAGTGCACAACCTGGAATCAGAAGCAGAGCTGGGAGTCAAATGCAAGCACTTTGAAATTGAATGCAGGCATCCTGAACAGCATCTCAACTAATGTGCCAAACACCTGACCCAGATATTTGATTTCTTTTATCAGTCTCACAGTTTTCCTTATGCAGATCCTGTATATATCTTGTTAGGTTTATGCCTAAGTATTTTTCATGCTAATTAAAATGGTATTGTGTTAAGAGAATGTAGTTATCATTTTTTAAACATTTTTATTTACTTGAAAGGCAGAATCATTGAGATAGATTACATAGATAGATAAATAGATAGATAGATAGATAGATAGATAGATAGATAGATAGATTCCATCTGCTAGTTCATTCCTCAAATGCTGGCAACATCAATCAAAGCCAGAAGCCCAGAACTCCATCTGGTTCTGACACATGGATAGAAGGAACCCAACTACTTCTGCCATCACCTTGGTGTGCATTAGCAGGAAGCTGGAATAGGAGTGGTGAGAGTACTCAAACCTAGGCACACTGATATGAGATGCAAGTGTCCTCAGGCAGTATCTGAACCATTGTGCCAAAAACCCACTCCAGGAAACAATGTACTGATTGATCATGGCATATAGATTTATTTATTTGAAAGGCAGAATTAGAGAGAGAGACAGAGAGAGAAAGACAGAGAAAGAGATCTTCCATCTGCTGGTTTATTCCCCTAATGGTTGCGATCGTCAGGGCTGGGCCAGGCCAAAGCCAGGAGCCAGAAGTTTCATCTGGGTCTCCCACATAGGTAGGAGGAGCCCAAGCACATGGGCTATCTTCTGTTGCTTTCCCAGGCACACTGGCAAGGAGCTGAATTGGAATCAGAGTAGCAAGGACAGAAATTGGCACCCATATGAAATGCTGGCATTGCAGGTGGCAGTTTAACCTGCTGTAACACAATGTCAGCCCCTAGAAAAACTTTTTTAAAGAGGTATACTTGGGGCTGGTGCTGCGATGCAGCGAGTTAAAGCCCTGGCCTGAAGCGCCGGCAGACCATATGGGTGCTGGCTCTAGTCCTGGATGCTTCTCTTCTGATCTAGCTCTCTGCTATGGCATAGGAAAGCAGTAGAAGATGGCCCAAGTCCTTGGGCCCCTGCACCCATGTGGGAGATCCAGAAGAAGCTCCTGGCTCCTGGCTTCGGATTGGCACAGCTCTGGCCATTGTGGTCATCTAGGGAGTGAACCAGCAGGTAGAAGACCTCTCCGTATCTCTCTCTAACTCTTTCAAATAAATAAAATAAATCTTTTTGTTTGTTTTTGTTTTTCTTTGACAGGCAGAGTGGACAGTGAGAGAGAGAGAGAGAGACAAAGGTCTTCCTTTTCCGTTGGTTCACCCCCCAATGGCCGCTGTGGCCGGTGTGCTGCGGCCGGCGCACCGCGCTGATCCGAAGCCAGGAGTCCGGTGCTTCTCCTGGTCTCCCATGCAGGTGCAGAGCCCAAGTACTTGGGCCATCCTCCACTGCACTCCCGGGCCATAGCAGAGGGCTGGACAGGAAGAGGAGCAACTGGGACAGAATCCGGCACCCCGACCCGGATGTTCTAGTCCCACCCGGTGTGCCGGCACCGCAGGCAGAGGATTAACCTATTGAGCCACGGCGCCGGCTAATAAAATAAATCTTAAAAAAAAAAAAGAGGTATACTTGGGTGGCAACCCTTGGTACCCCTGCGAACACGGCACTGCAAGTGGTGCTGAGCGTGCAGGCCGCGGCCTGCAGCCTGCTCGCGTCTGCTGGGCCTGCCGCACCCTGCTCGCCTCTGCCCTGGTGACTACAGGAGGGCACCGTCTGGATGCTATGCACAGGAACTGCTCTGCTCTCGATATGTAAATTCACAAAGAAACAAAAATGGATAACAACAGAAAATGGTATTGGAGCAGTGGGAATCAGCAATTTTTGCAAATAAGATGTTTTTGCAATAAGATGTTGCTTATTGTAATCTGCCTGAAGTTGGGACAAAATTGGAAAAACAAGATGAGTTTGCTGCTTTGGAAAGTGTGAAAGCTGCTAGTGAACTCTATTCTCCTCTATCAGGAGAAATAACTGAAATTAATGAAGCCCTTGCAGAAAACCCAGGACTCGTCAACAAATCTTGTTATGAAGAGGGTTGGCTGATCAAGCTGACACTGAGTAACCCTTCAGAACCAGATGAACTAATGAGTGAAGAAGCCTATGAGAAATACATAAAATCTATTGAGGAATGAAAGTGGAACCCTTACATGAACTAGTATGGAATAACTTAATCCAGCACAATTATCTTAAATTAGTGGCAGATAGAACTTAAAATAGCAACTTTTAGCAATATTGATGGGAAGAGATACTACTTTCAACTCTACTACTGGAAGAAAATATCTGCTAACTTTGTAATGATGAACACAATATGCATAATATGCGGCAGATGAACATAACATGCATATTTTTCCACAATACTTTGTGATTTTTACACTAGGCTCTAGGCACTAGTATTCAGAACACATGAATTTATCTGTGGTAAAAACCTAGTTCTACACATAATGTAATTCAAGGATAACCATTGTTATCTTAAGCCTTATGTAATATTGTCACTTGCTTATAACCTCCCTGGATTGGGGTCAAAATATGTAATGATCTTTCCATCGGAAGTAACTGGGAATGCAGAACAGTTTTTGTTAGTGCCAGAGAAAGAACAATGCTATCTTAATTTTGCAATATACTGCATTTGCTGCTGCCATTTAATACAATGAAGCAGCAGCCCTGCAGCAAAATAAGAAACATAAGAAAATTTGCAACTTCCTCATTAAAAAAGAGGTATACTTGGTATGTTAATAGAAGAGAGAAAATGGAATGATATAAAATGCTGAATTAAAACGAATGGAGTGGAATAAGAAGAAAATTTTTGGCCATGGTCTAGAGATACCACACAGAAGTGGAGTGTCAGTTTACCTGGACATTCGTGTCCAAATGTCTCTAAAACCACAGCTCACCCATTCACGTGCTTTTCTGGACTCCTAGTCTCTCCTGGGTGTAATGAGGATGAAGTACATGGAAATTTTGATGAAATGCAGCCTCCCTTCCCAGGGGACCAGTATCAGAGTGACTGCTGCTCTTCCTTCCTCCACTCCATTGCCCCTAGTTGGAGGGGACTTCCTCTCCTATGCTCATCCTTGAAGCAAGCTGTAAGTTGAGGGAAGCAGTGATCATCAGTATTGAGAGAGAAATAGTTGCACTCAAAGGGCTCAGCATGCTTGGGTTTTCCAGGGAAGTGTTCCTATTCTTTACCCTTGATTGAGGGAATGGAATGAGAAGCAGCCAGTATACAAGAAAGGCTTCTGCCCAAGAGACAGATGCCCTGGGTGCTCCCTGGTGTGCCCCTGACTTGTTTGTGGCCGTCCTGCCTCCCTGGGACTTGCTGTCTTCATCTGTAACGGAGGAATGAAAATCCTCTGAGAACATAGAAAGAGATCATGTAGGAACATAATTATGAAAATTGTGATTGGGGCTGTACTCAGAAAGAATCTGGTTATTAAGGCAATTGGGGGAGACATCAGTCAGGGAAATATTTTACTTACTGTTCTGGATCTAAATGGTCCCACCTTTTCCGGGCTCTGATCGTAATCAACAAAGCGCTGCTGTTGAGCTAATGAGCCGCGAGGAATGGTTTGCCTTTCCCCAAGCCCAGGCTCCTTGCTGTTTCTACAGCACCCACCTCTCACTGTGAGCATCTTGCAAAGGTTAGCTCAGGACAAATACCATGCTCGCCTAGGCAATCCTTACTACATTCGTTTCAGTTAAGAGTTCCAGAGTGGTTCTACCCATTCCACAGCTCAGCAAGCATCTTGCTGGGCAGCAAGGTTAGTGTTTGCCTCAAAGTGGGTCGGGGGTAATGGTGTGGGCAGCAGCCTGTCTGGCTGCCTCTGCAGAACCCCTGTGGCTGCTTCTGTCAAGTGAAGGAGACTTGGAGCCTCTGAGTCAGCAATTCTGGAGCAGGAAAAATGCCCTTCTCAACATCATCTTATCCTGCTACCAACTGAGATTTGCAGAATCTGCAAACTGAGGTTTGCAGAATCTATAAGATGCTGACATTTGGCATTTATTACAGTTTGTAGATCTTATAAAATGAGGTGAGTTTAATTTTGTATTGGGGGAAGAAGCTATACCCCAACTCATACAGGCAAAATGGCAGCTTCTTGTCTCCAGCCTGACCACATGGTCCCTTTAGGACATGATGAGCGCTGGTCCCACCAGCTTCAAGGAGGCACTGTGGGTGAGTCAGGACAAGGGAATGGCCCTCCAGATTCTCCAGCTGGAAGAGCTGTTGAAAGGACACTTCTCAGTCACTCCAAGGATTTGCGTCAAGCTTTCAAAGTGGTCTTACCTTGGTCCCGACATCTACTCCTGTAGTTGGTGGGGTCCAGCTTTCCTACCCCAGCCTTCTCCTCCACCTTCATGACTATAAAGTAAAAGATGAACATAGCCTTAAAAATGTATGTGGCAAACAAGGATTTCCAGGAGAAATGATCAAATACATAAAGTAGAAGACCTTAGCTAATACAAAATTAAAGCAAAAGAAGAATCTCATGGATCTCCAATAACAAACACACCTCTTTTTCAAGTACAAATGGAACATTTACAACAAGAGCACACATACTAGGTCACAGGAAAACCTAGATAAATTTAGGTCAGTCAATTTATCATACTTTTAATATATACTTTCTGAACATAGTTTTTTTTTTTTTTTTTTAAACAGGCAGAGTGGACAGTGAGAGAGAGAGAGAGAGACAGAGAGAAAGGTCTTCCTTTTCCATTGGTTCATCCCCCAATGGCCGCTGCGGCCGGCGCGCTGTGCCGACCTGAAGCCAGGAGCCAGGTGCTTCCTCCTGGTCTCCCATGCGGGTACAGGGCCCAAGCACTTGGGCCATCCTTCACTGCACTCCTGGGCCCAGCAGAGAGCTGGACTGGAAGAGGAGCAACCGGGACAGAATCCGGCGCCTCGACTGGGACTAGAACCCGGGGTGCCGGCACTGCAGGCGGAGGATTAGCCTATTGAGCCGCAGCGCCGGCCCTGAACATAGTTTTAACAGGAAACCACAAAGAAATTATTAAATATTTAGAATTCAACACTCGCAGCTACTACAAATGAAACTTATGGAATGCAGCATATCAGAGGAAAAAGGGAGGGAAGAAAAGGAAGAACAGAGGGAGGGGAGAGATGGAAGGAAATACATGTGATAAATATTCACAAGAAGCCAGAAAAACAGGAGAGAAACCCCCAAGAAAGTAGAAGAGATAAAGAAAGTATAAAAGATAAAAAGCAAAAACTAATGAAATAGAAAATAATCAGGGGCTGGCGCTGTGCCTCAGTGAGTTAACACCCTGGCCTGAAGTGCCGGCATCCCATATGGGCTCCGGTTCTAGTCCCAGCTGCTCCTCTTCTGATCCAGCTCTCTGTTATGGCTTGGGAAAGCAGTAGAAAATGGCCCAAGTCCTTGGACCCCTACACCCGCATGGGAGACCCAGAAGAGGCTCCTGGCTCCTGGCTTCGGATCGGCTCAGCTCCGGATGTTGCAGCCATCTGGGGAGTGAACCAATGGATGGAAGACCTACCTCCCTCTCTGTCTCTACCTCTCTCTGTAACTCTGACTTTCAAATAAATAAAATAAATCTTTAAAAAAAAATAAAATAATCAAGCATAGACAGCGTTAGTAAATCCAAAGGCAATTGTTTGAAAAAGTTATTAAAAAGACAAGCTATATAAGACTAATGAAGAAGAAAAGAATATTCACAAGTAATCAACATAAGGAATAAAAAAAGAGACATCAGTAAAATATAGCAGAGAATTAAAAAAATTATAAGAGAATCCCATGAGAAAACTATATGCCAACAGGTTTTAAAGTGTAGATAGTAATAGCTACCATGGCTATGTTCCATGCTCAATTTTAAGTGTTTTGAAGGCTGATTTAATTAACCTTCTCAACAACCCTATGAAGTAGCATTATTCCCATCTTACAGATGAGGAAAATGAGGCACAGAGATTAAATTACTGCCTAGGGGGCCAGTGTCATGGCATAGCAGGTTAAGCCACAGTCTGAGATCCTTGCATCCCATATAAGTGCTGGTCCATTTCCAATCCACACCCCGTTAATGGGCCTGGGAAAGCAGTAGAAGATGGCCCAAGTCCTTGGGCCCCTGCACCTGCATGGGAGACCTGGAAGAAGCTCCTGGTTCCTGACTTCAGATCAGTTCAGCTCCAGCCGTTGCAGCCATTTGGAGAGTGAACCAGTGGATGGAAGACTCTCTCTCTCTCTCTCTCTCTTTCTCTGTAACTGCCTTTCTCTGTAACTCTACCTCTCAAATAAATAAATAAAATCTTAAAAAAAGTTTTATCCAAAATGTCAAGCACTAGATAGCCTTTCTTATGAAAAATAGTTCTCAAAAACAGATAAAGAGTAAGTCAAGAGTGGGTAGGTACTTCTGAAGACAGGAAGCAGCGAGGGGCTGAAAACAATTTTGTTGAAAATCACAGTTAAATCCTCAGATGTCTCTTCTGGGCTCAGTCTCCAGAATACCCTTGCTATTCCAGAAGATGAAGGGGTTAACTCAGAAGGCCCTTGGATAGCTAGGCTCCTAGAACACAAAAGCAGCTTAGACCCTCAGGCGGGAATTGGGAGGATTTGCAGATTCTGACATTTTGGGGACCTCTAACACAATGGTGAGGGCTCATCCAATTGTCCACTGTAAATCTTTTTGTTGTTGTTGTTGTTGTTGTTTTTGACAGGCAGTGTTAGACAGTGTGAGAGAGAGAGAGAGAGAAAGGTCTTCCTTTTTCCATTGGTTCACCTCCCAAGTGGCCACCACGGCTGGCACCGCTGCCCGATCCAAAGCCAGGAGCCAGGTGCTTCTTCCTGGTCTCCCATGTGGGTGCAGGGCTCAAGGACCTGGGCCATCCTCCACTGCACTCCCGGGCCATAGCAGAGAGCTGGACCGGAAGAGGAGCAACCGGGACAGAATCCGGTGCCCCGACCAGAACTAGAACCCGGGGTGCCGGTGCCACAGGCGGAGGATTAGCCTAGCGAGCTGCGGCGCCGGCCCCACTGTAAATCTATCATTCAACAGATCCAGCTCGTCCACATGGACAGTTCCACTCCAAAATATGAATGACTAACCAAGAACTGCCAGAATGACAGAGATCAAAACAAACAGGAAAAGAGAAAATCCAATCATGGACCTTGGTGCAATCTAGGCAGGAAAAGAAACCATTAAACTGTTTAACATTTTCAAGGAGGCATGAAGAACATTGTATCCATGACAAAAACAACAAAGCAGACTACTATAACCTGAGACTTTCAAAGAATAGGAAGGAACTCTTGGAAAGTTAAAATGTTAGAAGAGAGGCAGGCACTTAGTAGTTAAGATGCCACTGGGGATACCTATCTCCCATACTGGAGTGCCCAGTTCGAGTCCTGGCTCCACTTCTTTGTTTTTTTCTAAAAGATTTATTTATTTATTTGAAAGTCAGAGTTACACACACAGAGAGAAGGAGAGGCAGAGAGAGAGAGGTCTTCCATCCGCTGGTTCACTCCCCAATTGGCCGAAGTGGCCAGAGCTGTGCCCATCCAAAGGCAGGAGCCAGGAGCTTCCTCCGGGTCTCCCACATGGGTGCAGGGGCCCAAGGACTCAGGCCATTTTCTACTGCTTTCCTAAGCCATAGTACAGAGCTGAATTGGAAGTGGAGCAGCCGGGACACAAACTGGCGCCCATGTGGGATGATGGCACTGCAGGCAGCTGCTTTACCCACTACATCACAGCACCGGCCCCCTGGCTCCACTTCTGATCTGAGCTTCCAGCTCATACGCACCCTGGGAAGGGAGCAGATGATGACTAAAGTACTTGGATTCATGCCACCCACATGGATACCAGTTGGAGTTCCTGATTGCTGTCTTCATCCTGGCCCAGCCCTGGATGCTACCACCATCTGGGGAGTGAACCAGTAGATGCAAGACTTCTTTGTCTCTCTTTCAAATTAAGTAAAAATAAATAAATAAAAATTTTAAAATGAAAATTTAGAAGAAAAATTTTCAATAAACAAGTTGGGACATAAAGTTGAAAGAAAATGTCAGGGCATAGAACACAAGCACAAAGCACAGAGACATTTTCAAAATAGTAAGACAGGGGCTGGTGCTGTGGCACGGCGGGTAAAGCCACCGCCTGCAGTGCCAGCATCCCATGTGGGCCCCGGTTCAAATCCTGACTGCTCCACTTCCAATCCAGCTCTCTGCTGTGGCCTGGAAAAGCAGTAGAAGATGGCCCAAGTTCTTGGGCTCCTGCACCCACGTGGGAGACCCGAAAGAAGCTCCTGGCTCCTGGCTTTGGATGGGTGCAGCTCCAGCCATTGCGGCCAACTGGGGAGTGAACCAGTGGGTGGAAGATCTCTGTTTCTCTCTGCCTTCTCTCTTTGTGTAACTCTCTCTGTGTAACTCTTTCAAATAAACAAATAAATCTTAAAAAAAAAATATTAGTACAAAGGGCTGGTGCTGTGGCGTAGCTGGTAAAGCCTCCACCTGAGGTGCCGGTATCCCATCCCATGTGGGCGCCAGTTCAAGTTCCAGCTGCTCTTCTTCCTATCTAGCTCTCTGCTATGGCCTGGGAAAGCAGCAGAAGATGGCTCAAGTCCTTGGGCCCCTGTAGCCATGTGGGAGACCTGGAAGAAGTTCCAGGTTCCTGGCTTCAGATCGGCCCAGCTCTGGCCGTTGCAGCCATCTGGGGAGTGAACCAGCGGATGGAAGACCTTTCTCTCTCTCTCTCTCTCTCTCTCTCTCTCTGCCTCTATAACTTCATCTTTCAAATAAATAAATCTTTTAAAAAAATAGTAGGACAAGACAAAGTAATTGGAGCATCAATCCAGGAAGAACAAGCATCAAAGTAATAAGAGTTCCCTGAGAGAGATGAGAAGAAAACAGTGGAGGGAAGTGTTGTGGCACAACAGGCTAATCTGCCGCTTGTGAAGCCAGCATCCCAGAGCCCACATCAGAGCACTGGTTTGAATCCTGGCTGCTCTGCTTCTCATCCTGCTCCCTGCTAATGTTCCTGGGAAGGCAGCAGAAGATGGCCCAAGTGATTGGGCCCCTGCACCCATGTGGGAGACCTGAACAGATTCCTGACTCCTGGCTTCCAGCTAGCCTAGTCCAGCCCTGACCATTTCAGCCATTTGGGGCTGAACTAACAGATGGAAGATCTCTCTCTCTTTCCCCTTCTCTCCTTCTGTCACTCTGGTTTTCAAATAAAACTCTAAAAAAAGGAAACAATAGTGGAGAAGAAATTATCAATGAAGTAACATGAGAATGTTTCCCAGAACTGCAGAATTTGCATTTCCTTATGGAAAGAGCCTGCTGAGAGCCAAGAAAAATGAATGTTTTAGAAATCCACTCCAAGTCCATCATCGCAACATTTTAG